AGGGCAACAAGGCTGGTGAAGGATCTGGAACACAAGACCTGTGAGTAGTGGGTGAAGAAGCTGGGTTGGAGAAAAGGAGGCTCAGGGGAGACCTAATTGCCATCTAGAACTCTAGAAAGGTGGTTGTGGTCAGGTGGGGATCAGTCTCTTCTCTCAGGCAATAGGACAAGAGGATACAGCCTTAAGCTGTGCCTCAGGCTGGATATTAGGAAAAAATTCTTCACAGAAAGAGTGATTAAGGATTGGAATGGCCTGCCTGGGGAGGTGGTGGAGTCACTATCCCTGAAGGTGTTTAAAAAACGACTGGATGCGGCACCCAGTACCATAGTTTAGTTGATAAGGTGGTGTTAGGTCATGGTTGGACGTGATGATCTCAAAGGTCTTTTCCAACCTAGCTCAGGCTGTGATTCTGTGCAGTATCAGCTCAAAAGAACATTCTGACTTTAACACTGCTCCAGAAAGCTTCAGTTGGAGAATACTGATGTTTGCTCCTGCTCTGGGTGCTGGGGGCTGAGCAGGAGTTCAGACTTTACAGAAATAAGTCCCACTGAGTGCCCTGCTGTCAGGGAGTCTCTTGGTCTGAGCCAAAAGTCGCTGTGTTAGATGGCCATGCAGTGCAAAAATCCTGGCCGGCTTCACTTCCACAGGCAACAGAGCAAAAGTACTGGAAATCTGGGGCGAGCTGTGCTCCTTGGACTGGGCCAGCCCACGTCACACAGGCAGCCATGCCCAGCCCTGCCTGAGCAGGACTTGGGAGTGCTCGAGCTGTGGCCAGGGACATGAGCAATGGACAGGGAGCAATTCTGCTCTGCTTTGCTGCACAGCACAATGTGCTGCCCAAAACAGGCACTGTAGTGTCAGGGCTCTTAAGGGAGGCAGGATTTTAGCTCACCAAAGTGCACTGCAGCTCTGAACCCATTCCATAAGCCTTCCTTGCTTTATGTGCTTATGGCAAGGTGGTACCTGGGATGCCTTATTGTTTCCCTTTGACTTACTTTATATTCTGCTATTCACTCCCATCTCTTTTGAGAGCAAAATGCTCTGTGAATGCCTTGAGGGCTCTTTCTCTTTCACTGACCTTTTTTATGACTGTAAAGAAGTTTCCTTAGGCCCAAGTCTGCTTTCTGTCTTGAATATTGACCTTAGAGTTACACCATCTCGTTGTCGCTGCACGCAGACTTCCCAGCTATCAAAGTTCACCCACAGGACTCAAAGTATTCCTAACTCAGAAACACCTTGCTTTTATGTCCTCCTCCTCTTTCCCTTCCTCCCTCCACATGAGCATTTTAATTTCACAAGCAAAATCCATTTTGCTGTGAATTTCGATGAGTGGTTCACCTGTTTCCAGGGCAAAATTTGTACTTCAAATTTAAATGTCTTTTTTCACTGTGACTGTCATAATATTTTCCATTTGAGGCTGAGATTCCACTGTGGGTTTTCTGTGCCATGTTGTCATCTGTCCAAATCTAAGCTTAAATGTGTGGAAATTCTGACATTTCAGTAAGAAATATAAAGTGGGTTTTTTATGTTCTTCAAGTTGGCTGTTTCATAGGTGTGGCCGCTGGGTTTTGCCCAGCACTCTGGTCTTCCCCAGTTCAACAACAGATCAAAGATTTCTCAAGTTTTTTGGGCTTGCTTGCATTGACTGTGTCATTTTTGTGAGAGTAAGTGACGGTGATTTTTTATCTGATTGTTGATCCTGAAAAGCTGATAACAGAATAATTACCCCAAACCAGGCATTTCCAGCCTGACTTTGCTTGGCAAGAGATGGTTGTGTGTGATGCTGAACGTGGTGTCCGTGTACGTGTGGATCTTGGAGAAGGCAGCTTCAAATCAAGCAAACCTGGAGTGGTTTCACAGTGCAAATGGCTCTGAGGCAGAAAGAGCCATTCTGCTCTGTGGCAGAAACTCTCTTTAGATTTGACAGGAGTTTTTTGGGGTTTTGAGAGGGATTTGATAGATATAGTGCTGTTGGACTCCTTCCCCTCAATGCCCTTTAGTCAGACACTGCTTATGCCCAGCAGTCTGAGCTACATGTTTTGGGGGCAAATTTTGAATATTGCTGTTTACCTACACTCAAGTATTTGACAAAGGCTGAAATATTTTTCATCAGTCATGTGGTTTCATGTTAGGTTGTTATGTGGAACAAAGTATGCTGTTGAGATTATCACTGAAATTGAATTCTCTAAAAGGCTTTTGCAGCTTTCTATCAGGTAATATGAAATACATAGAAATGTACACCCACTGGCAAGATTCACTTCCATTTTTATTTTTTTTTTTTTGTCATTAACTTCTTTGAGAATACAAGGGGATATTTGCAGCTCTTTCAGTGGCTTGACATTTGTCACAATGATACAATTTCTAAAATGTTGACTGTAATTGCTGCCTGAGCTCACTGAACCTCTTAGCAAACGGGCTGTGAGAATTGCTGGTGACACAAACTCCTGCTATCAGAACTGATTCCATTGTGGTCTGACCTGATCATTTGCTCTTCAACACAAGTCCCAGTCACTCTGTGTAATTTTATAGTGTAAATCTCTGTGCCATTATAGTGTAATACTTTACACCTCTGGGGCTAGGATGTGATTGCAGCTCTAGAGCCAGGAGGGACAGAGTTGGAAAATGAACCCAAGGGAGTTGTGCTTGATACTACTCAACTGATGCTCACAAACTTCATTCTTTGCAGCTGTGTGTTAAGCAACACGGCCAACATTTGCCACATGTTGTTTATTCTCTTATCTTTTCCCCAGAGAAGAGAAAGTGTGTACAGGCCCTTTTCCTTTCCTTGAGGAATTATGTTCCTCAAATCCCATATTGCCTGTAGAAATCATGTCTTTATCATTAACTTTTATCCTCTCTATTAACCTTCAAATTTGATGGAATTTAGGTAGCTGACCATCTGAGGTATCATTGGAAAAGCTCTGCCATGTTATATGTGAATAGTTACTGGAATGGTTGCAATGCAGGGAGCAACCATTTGAAGAGGTCTAATAAACGCTCTTTTTTGACTGTTAATTATTAATTTTTTATAATATGAGCTTGTAGCAGAATATTTCTCTCTGTGTTAAATGATAATAATGTAATTAATAGTAGCTGCCTAAAATAGCTGCAAGCAATCACCCCTTTTCCTTGTGCCTTACAGTTTATCTAAGTTGCTTGATAGCTTAATGTAGCCAAACTGGGTGGGCTAATTCAGCCCTGCTTCAGCTCAGTTAACATAATTCCTTCCATTGCACTGGATTTTTTTATTAGACACCACATAGGCTTCTAATGAAGGTGTCAGACTGACAGACATTGATGCCATCTAGATGCACAATGAAGCATTGTAATGGTGATTATAGAAGCCTCTCCATCCTGGGGAACCTCTGGTGTGTTTTCCTAAAGGTGCCTCCAGAATGAACTGGTTGGTTTATGTTTAAGAGCTGGGGCTCGATCCACATCGTTCACATCAAGGGCAATTATTCTGGGAATGATAATGAGTCTCATGCTGGGCCTCCACTGAGAATTCCATTACCAGCATCAGTTATGGCAACAGTGTAAGCAAGTGAGCAAGCTAAAATGAGGGCCACAACAACTCTTTGGTCTAAGACACACTTTCTTGAGGATAAGCCTTGTCTCAAAACAAAGAAATCCACAGTCTGGATACTTATTAAAAGCGGGGGTTTTTTCCCTTGATTGTGCCACTAAAATGTGCATGCAAACTTTTTGGGAAAACCTGAACCTTTCTGCAAGCATGTTCTTTTCATCAAATTCCTTTTTTCATGTTTGAGCCCTCTGCCCAGCTCATTCTTGGCTGTGCCTGTCCCCCCATAGGCTTTGCTGCATTCCCCTATCCCAGTGGTGACGATGCAGTTTGGCTGCAATTAGTACAGCTCAGATTTCATTAAGTAAATTACTCTGAAAAGCTTTCAATATTGGGACAAACCCAATAGAAACATGTAGATTACCCAACAGAGGATGTTCTCAATTCCTTTGGCCAGAAACTAAAATTCTTACCTAAGATTTTCAAAACTCTGGAAGAAGTTTGACCTTCCCTTTCCCTTAGCCAGCTCTGAAGTTTGCAGCCAATGGTGTTTTACTAGACTTGCAGCACTGACTTAATAGCTCTTTAGTTATTAGAGGATAAATGTTCATGTTCTACAAGTTTAAATTATATTAAAAGCCTTTATTAGCACCACTTGGCAAAATACCTTCTGGCTAGCTTTCTGGCCTTGGGCTAGGCCATTCTTGTGGTTTCTTAATGACATACTATGAAATGGATATAATTTATGAGAATTTGGTGCCAGGTTTTGCGTGTATTAAGAAGCATTTGCCGTTTGTGCTTAATGCTGCTGAGCAAAATGAAAAAGATTAAAAACTTGAGCTACGTCTTGCATTCATCTGGCTTGATTTTCATTGTACATGGCTTTTTGTATTTTTATGTGTATATATTTATGCTATATATATATTTTATATTATCTGGTCTCTGAATTACTGGTGGTTGTTCAGTTCTGGCACGTAGCAGTGCGGTTACCAAAGTTACTTTTGATTTATTTTCCAACCCTCCCTGAGTAATTTTGGCAAAGTGTTCTCAATGAAAGAACTCTGAGCCACGTAATAGGTTTCCCCACAGTTGGGAGAAGAATTAGGCCACTGGGGCAGCTCAGTTTTGTGACAGCAGCTGTGCCAAGGGCCAAAGGCCTCAGAAGTTTCTTTCCCACGAGACTTGGTGCTGGGGTGTGATTCAGCTGCTTGGTATTTTCCCCCCTCTCAGCATCTGTTTATTTGCTTTGCCACCGAGGCCGCCTCCTTTTCCTTCTGCTGCTACAGCGTCAGTGTGAAAAACGGATGGGGCAAAGCACCTGGCGGGTGGGAGGAGGCGTGTGCGGTGGGAACACGGGCCTGGGAGACCTGGGGCACGAGCAACCTTTCTCAGGTGTGTTTCCATCACAAGAGCTGTTTGTGGCGGAGGCGTGAGCTCTGGTGATGGATCTGACCCCGTGCTCTCATTCTTTCCGCAGTGGGGAAGCCTCACAAGTGCAACTACTGCGGCCGGAGCTACAAGCAGCGCAGTTCTCTGGAGGAGCACAAGGAACGCTGCCACAACTACCTGCAGAATGTCAGTCTGGAGGCTGCTGGGCAGGTCATGAGTCACCATGGTGGGTGCAAACCGCCTCCAGAGCTCCCTCGGACGCGGAGCGGCTCGTGCGGCTTTCTTTCCATCTCTTCTTCTTCCTTCCTTTCCATCGCTTCCATCTCAGACATTGCTGGCACTCAGAGAGGCAGGGGGAGAAAAAAAAGATGGGCTGAAATCATCACTCTGTCCATTTAAACAGCCCTATTTGTGCTTATTTTGTTTAAGTCAGTGTTTCACTTTTTAGTATGTGCACATATGCAGACACGAAAATAAAGCCAAGTCACCTGTTCAAAATTACCCAAAAAGTCGTGTCATAGAATCATAGAGTGGTTTGGGTTGGAAGGCTTCTTAAAGACCTTCTAGTTCCAACCCCCTGCCATGAACAGGGACACCTTACAATACACCAAGTTGCTGCAAGCCCCATCCAGCCTGGCCTTGGACACTTCCAGGGACGCAGGGGCAGCCACAGCTTCTCTGGGCACCCTGTGCCAGGGCCTCACCACCCTCGTAGGGGAGGTAGTGTCCTCACAATGTCCCATCTATCCCTGTCCTCTGGCAGTGGGAAGCCATTCCCTGTGTCCTGTCCCTCCATCCCTTGTCCCAGGTCCCTCTCCAGCTCTCCTGGAGCCCCTTTAGGCACTGGAAGGGCTCTGAGGTGTCCCTGGAGCCTTCTCCAGGTCTCCCAGCCTGGCTCCACAGCAGAGGAGCTCCAGCCCTTGGAGCATTTCCAAGGCTTCCTCTGGACTTGCTCCAACAGCTCCATGTCCTTCTAATGCTGGGAGTGGCAGCCATGTATAAAATGTGTGATTCTCTCCTCCTTCCTTTCTGATAGTGAGTGATAATTAGAAAAGATAAGGATGGCAGAGTTATTCAGAAGTCATTATTTTTACCCTCTATAATGCTGTCTTATGCCTCCAAAAAAGGGAGGGATGGATGTAAAAATCTCTAGAGCAGAATGGAATTCAATAGTGTTGTTAAAAGTAATTGTAACAAAAAAAAAAAAATGTTTGTATGCATTTACATTTGCTGGTATTAATATGTTAACTAACACTGCATGTGTTAATATACATAAGGACTGAAGATTGCCAAAAAGATTGTTGAAAGCAAGAAATGTCAAACTCTGTGAATTTGTTTTCAGAAATTTCTGGAGCTATTAGTATGGATAATGGGCATAATGTCTCAGACTGCAGAGTTGAAGGCTTATCTGTAGCACTAAATGCTAAATGGTAGCTGTCCAAAAACAGTTATAATTTTATTCAAAATTAGTGTCTCACAAACTCTTCTAAACCTGAACTCCTTTTAACTTTTGAAAGTTGTCTTTAGATATTTGATACTTGAAGACTTAAAAATCTTTTAGTATTCAGAAAATATAAAAACGTTTTCCATTTTGATTAAAAATTGCCTTATACCTACAAAACAAAAAAAAAAAGTTTATGCATAATTAAAAGGCAAAAGAATACTTCAATTTCTTCATTTTTTTCCATTTTGCTTATCATGACTGAGTGGAGACATTTGGCTTAATCTGGAAATAATTTCTTTTGAATAATTTTTAAAACCCTGAAAATGCAAGCTGAAATAAAATCTATTCAGCATTGCTACTATAGGCTGTATTTTGGTGACAGAAATCTCCAAAAATTTTTAAATAGTACTTTCCCATGACCAATTTAAGCCTATAAAGGCACATTAGACAGTTTTAGTACATGTTGCCAAAATATTCATACAGCTCTATTAAGTAATTGCTGTCTTTCTAGACACCCTGGAGACTAAAGTCAACATTTAAAATGTCATGGATGTTTTAAAGATATTGACACGAGTGATTATGTGCCTGAGGTGGCTTTTTTTTGGTAAAAGTCAGTGAAAAGGCAGATTTCAGGGCTTTGCTCTGGAGGTACCTGTTGTGAGCTTGGTCAGTTAGGTAGGAGTTGAAGCACTGAATTGATTCCCAAAAAAATACCCACTCCTTGTGCCTGTTAACCAGAGAGAGATGCCTTCAGCCAGCCTTTCCTTAGGGAATTACAGGAGCCTGCCCACAGCTCTGACAGCCAGGATGTTTGAGATCCTGTTGTGGAGGAGCTTCCCAATTGCTGCTCAATGTCTGGTTTCATTAGTTTCATTAGTTATTTATTAAAATAATAAATTAAATTAATTAAAATTTCTGAGGAAATCTAAAGCTTTTTTCTAAGCTGTCTAACACCATGACAAGAAGGGTAAGTCCTTAACCTTGTCTGCCCAGAGAAGCTGCAGTGATTGACCTTGCATTGATTTTTCTACCACCTGAAGTTAAACCAGTGCAAATCCCATGTGGACAGTTCTTTTATTTACAGCTTGACTGACTTTGCTTGGGCTCAAAATAGAAGTGTTCACACAACCTCTTCACTTTTCTCAACAAAATTAGCTTAAAGCAGCACTTTGAATTCAACCAGTGCCTCTTTCTCCTCTGGGCAAATATGTCTGTGTCTCCCCTGGTGAATGTTTAAGGGGATGTTTGATCCAGTGTCTTCATTTCAGTTGTTTAGAGAGGGCACAGCAAGGATAGACAGTGACAGGGAGCTCCAGATTCAGCTGGGACCAGTCAGAAATCCCAGCACCACTCACACAGTGAGCTCAGCATGAGGGTCATGAGCACCAGCCTGTAGAGGTCTGCAGCAAATCCTTTTTCCTGGGACTGCAAAGACACCAGGGAAGAGAATAAAAATGGTTACTCAGCTTCATGTTAGGCCTTATACTAACCCCGAAAAATCTGTATTCATTTCCTTGTCTCCCATGTCACACACGGAAATGATATTCCTGAGGGATCACTAAGAGTATATTTTGGAGAATTTTATTTTGCATCCCACTGGGGTGAGCTTTCCTAACTCTGTTTCCAAATACTTGGTGTTTTGTTTTTGCTGGGCATTTTGAAGCATTGGAGTGTGTTTTGGTGTGACTCCTGCTCTCAACTTTACCACTGCACACAGAACAGGGAGATGTGGGGATTTTCTGATCCCTACCAGCATCCTGCTCCTCCTGATTTAACAATACCAGCATTGGCCAACACTAAGCATTGATCCAAATTATTTCTGCAGAGACTAATTGTTCCAGAAAGCTGGAAGCAGCCCCTAGAGGGTTTGGATTTTTTTCAAGCACTGTGCTCAAGCCCATCAGTTTACAGGCGTGCTACAGACATCTACTTTGGTGCTTTCAATTATCTCTGTCTTGCAGATGGCTAGATCACCTGACTGAAGCCACAAGGGGGAACAAGAGAGGGGGAAGGAGGGCTGGTTTTGGGGGCTGGGTAAGAATATACAAATCTGTGGGTCTTGCTCCATCCTCTTGCAGGATGCCAGTTGCCTGTCGAGCTGCCCCTCCTTGTGTTCCTGTTCCCTGCTCAGCAGGACAGATGCTGCAAGAGAGATCGCATGATTTTGTTGTTGAAATTTTTCAGCTAAGCACTGCTGTCTTTGGAAGGAGAAATCAGTCTTCAGTGTGGTGGGGGTGACAAAAGGGACAGTCCCTGCATGCCAAGAACGTGCCCTTTGCAGGAAAGAACAGGGAGAAATGTTGAAGGCTAGCTAAGGTTTGCACCCAGCTGTATCTTCTCCACTGCCACAAAGCCAAAAGTCCAGAGAAATTCTTCCAGGAATGGAGAAGGGTACTCTTTTCAGGAGAAGGAGAAAGCAGCCTAGCCCTAGGCTGTGAGGCTCAAAGGCCAGCTCCACATAAAACACACAATGGCCTTGTGTCTTTCCCTCTTACATAGTTGCTTAAAACATCGTTAAAATGCTGGTCCCACAGGACACTTCCCACCAGGGTCCATGGGAATATTTCCTGTCATTTCTCTGCACACACACACTTCTTTTAAATAGCAATATTGTGAGCCTCAGAAAGGAAATTGAGGTTGATGGAGTAATACTAATTTATACCAGCTGAGACTTAGCCCAGTGTCTGGTGTCTGCACACAAAATATTTATCAGCAAAACACACGCTGGGTAATTTTTTTTGCCTCTCTTTTTTTTTCCCCTATTCTTTCCTCACTGGTACAGTATAAACTATTTTAATAGTTCATGTAGTTTCTTAAAAATTAAGAAGTTAAAAATTAAAGATATTCACTATGATTGAAACAACAATGTCTTCAGGAAAAGAAAGACTGTTCTGAAGACTATCCAAGTTTATGAATTCAGAGTTTAGCTCAGAAACAATACTTTTATTAATTACAATTGAGTATTGACAGTGTCAGAGGCAGTGAACCCTTCCATGGGCAGTCCAGCAGCACACCCTGATAGCTGATGAAGAACATCCCTGAACAGAAACACACTCAAGCGTGGGCTTTTCCTGGGCTGGAAGTTGGATTTTTAGAATAAAAAAGTCTTCCTGAGCTGAGACTGTAAATGCTCAGCATAAAATGAGTTGCTGTATCTGAGCTAGTTATATCTTGTCAGCTGTTCAAGGTAATGAAGTAGGATGTACTACAACAAAAAAGGAATTGCACTTACTGCTGAGTAAATGTGTACACGAGCTTCTACTACAGAGCAGCTGATTGTTGAGAGCTGGTGGTTGTGTGTGATCAGTTTGGTTTCTCTCTTTCTTATTTTGTTTTTCCTTAAAAAAAAAAATGCAGGCTGGGCTATGTGTCCTTTATTTGTGTGTTTTTTAAATTGAAATGAAAATTAATATATCTAGAATTGTTAATGTGATATTTAACTTTTAGTGTTTCTGAAATGTGGTATCTCATCTGTTTGGTCCAGTTTTGCCTGCTGTTTAAATGGTTTCAGAAACTAGATTATTTCCTTCCTTCCCTTCTCCCAGGAAATCTGCAGAACAAAACACACTCTGGTAACTTATTTCCATCATAACACAAATATTAGTGTGATTCAGTGATTCTTTTGCAAAAGAGAAGTGCCCTGGATTATAGACTTGGGTTCTGACATGGGAAAAAGTACCTTCAGCATGAAAGATGGAAAACAAAATGCTTTTATTGTTGATGATTTTAGTTTTAAAATGAGTCCAAGCCGGATTTTTGCCTGACTTAGAGAAGAGCAGATGTCTTTTTTAGCACTATTCATTTTTCATGGAAGAAAGGTTTCAAATTATGTGTAGGAAATTTTACACACATATGCCCAGCAGCAGAATTATTTAATTATTACTTAATTGTTATAAGACCATACAAATGTCACTACATTTGGGGCTTATTCAGATGGCTTTTAAAATAATCAGGAGCTTTGAACTGGTTCAGGATGCTTTGCAGAGGTGTTCCTAGGTGGGATTGAGCACCTTCCTAGTACCACACCACCAGCCTTGTGTGTCCTGTGCACCAAGGGCTGGAAATCCTTGAAGTGGCACCAGGGTGGACATGGCCCTTGATTGTCACATCCCAGGATTCACACCCTGTGTGCTTGCATCCCCTGGGCCTGGGGAAGCCAAAAAGGACAGTCAGAAGCCAGTTCCCAGTGAAAATCAGCAGACATCATCTTTTCTTTCTGCCCAAATCTCCTTGGTAAATACTTGAGTAGTGCACATAGCTCCTGACCAAGCAGGGTATTTAATTAACCTTAAAACTTTACCCTTGGCTATTAAAGTATTCCAGGCCTCCCAGTCTGCACTGGGCATTAATTAGGTCACTTGAACACTGCATCCCATTTTGTTGCAACATTAGATTCATTTCATATTTATGCTTTTTTTCCCTCCCTTTCAGTGATGCCAGCAGGACTGCCTTGTAAATGAGAAACCATTGTGTTTCTCAGGGGGAGCATCCTGTACAAATAAAAAAGCAGCAGAGTAAATCATTTTACAGCATATGGTAGATTCTAAGCCTCAAAGTGCTCAGCTTTCCATAGCAGCAGAGGCACAAATGGAATCAAATGAATAAATTGCCATGTTTTCTTATTATGGATGTCTGAATTGAGAAGTTCACCTGAGCAGATACTCTGTTTTGTAATTGCCTGGTATTTGCTCTTCCTTACTAGAAAGAAGGCAGAGACAAGGCTTTTATCACCCATTTTTGGTGTATTATGTGCTAGCAAACAGCTGTGTTTAGGAACAGGGGGGTGATTATTCCATGCCAGGATCCTGAAGGTAGTGCAGTTCCCACGGGAGGAAAGTGGGCTGGTGGTGTTCATTTATGGCACTGTCTGGGAGAAGGTGTCTGTGACACAAAAGGCTGCCATGGTGAGAGACAGGAGGAGGGCTGGCAGAACAGGAGGGTGCCAGGCCTTCTCTGCCACCTCTGCAATACCCAGCACCTTGCTGGGAGCCTGAGCTAAGGCAGAAAATGCAGTGGGTTCCTCTCAGTTTACATACTGTAGGAACTCTGTGCCACATCACCCCAGTTTCTGGTTTTCTGCTATCCATTTCTGCCATCCATTCTTTATACCCCACCTGTCCCATCAGCATGTGTCCTAGTGGCTGATCCCTCTCAGGTTTTTCTTGTTACCTTCTGAGGATGAATGCAGGATAATAAGGCCTGCTGTTAAACTCATAACAGCAGAGCAGAGCTACACACTTGATAGATATTGCAAATGACTGGGACTCTCCAGGCCTGATCCACAGTCTGCCACCACTGATTAGAAGGGGATGATTAGAAGAGGATGCTCAACAAAACTAAAGTACTTTGTAGGTACTTAAGAATGGCTGTATCAGCAAAAGGCATAAACCCCTGTGCAAGTAGCTCACTCCTCTGGTTAGAAGCCTGTGCAATTCCTACATTTTTCCTTTAGCACCTTATTCCCTAAACTGGCAAATGTCAGGAATGAAATGAATAAAGACAGAAGTTGTTGATTTTTTTGGTTTCTCTCAAATACAGTGTATGAGCATTCCCCCTGATGTAGTTAGCACAGGAATGCTCCCTGCTGATCCCTGCTCCCTGATGATGTGAAGTGAGATGCAGAAAACCTCTGTTTGCAGACAGTTAGATCTGTGCTTGAGGGGATAAAATATTAATCAAAAAATGTGTAGTTTTTGTGTCTGATTCTGAAGGGAATTTCCATGTGATGTTAATCTTGCAATTCCAGTACAGTGTGTGTTGATTTTACAGTCTCATTGCAGTCTGAAGAGAGGAAATATGCATTAGCAAACTGATCCTTCATTTGAGAACCCTTTGTCTTAGGGAACACACAGCCAGGCCCAGCAAACAGGGCTCATCAATGCCGTGTGTGATTTTTAATCATTGAGATTAGTGCAAAAAGATAACACTGAGAGTAATTATGCTGTATGTGTGCAGGGAATACACAAAGGATGATAACTAAAGATTTACATTGTTGACAGGTGAACATATTGAAGAGAGAGTAACACAAAATGTCACTTACAGAGTGAGTTTTCAAAAGTGTCCTCTCCTCACTGGTGATAATGAGTGTCCAGAACAAAACAAGTGCTTTTATAAATGCTTAAATTTGGATTTCTGCTAAATAAAACGTTCCCAAGGAGAGATGTTTTGTGAATGTGGCTCTGCTTACAGATGACTGCTGTCTTGATGCCCAAAATATTCTCACACCTTGCTTTATGTTGTGCTGCACTTGTTGCACAATCAGCAGGGCTCAAATTATTTGTGTTCTGTGAAGTGTAGACCAGACCTGTCTGATACCAATTTTTTTTTGTTTTTTTGTAGTACCTGCTCTGGAAGATTGTAAGGAACAAGAGCCTGTGATGGACAACAATATTTCTGTGGTGCCTTTTGAGAGACCTGCTGTTATAGAGAAGCTGTCAAGCAACATGGGAAAGCGTAAAAGCTCCACCCCACAGAAGTTTGTGGGTAAGCTGGAAATGAGCCTTTTATTCTTTTTAGTGCATGGCTATGGGTTATGTGCTATTTGTAATAGCCAGAAGAACAAGGGGGAAAGTAGCACTCACAATTTGGTTCTGATACAGCAATGGAGGTGGTTAAATCACAGCAGAAATCATGATAATTATTGAATTCATTTTACCAGTCCAGAGAATTCAAAATCAAAGTCCACTATCATGAGAATGCCTGAGAAAACCTTGAGCTTTCTACTTCACACTGTTTTGTTTGTTGTTTTTTTTTAAACTTCTCTCTAGCCCTTTTGAGATTTAGCCCTTGTCATCTTCCTTCTCCTTGCTCCAGAAAAACAAAAACAAGCTAAGACTGTCATATAATTATCTGTCTCCATATGTGTTAAAAAAACAAACAACAAGTATCTCAAGACTTCTAATTTGTATTAAATTCCTGACACTTGGTCTGATAATACTGGAATGAGGAAGTAAATCACATCCCTTGTGTTGGAAGAAGTTCTTGCTCTGAGTGCAGCACTCTGCACACAATAAACTTATTAATGCATGAATAAGAAACACCATTGGGTGGCTTTTGGTTACCAGATTTAGAATCCTAGGTCAAGAATTTATATTTTGCTTTGCGTCTTGACATATTAAAATTACTCAGCTTGTAACAGGTGACAGTATGGAGAATTTTACTTGGTTTTAGCTGTAACTTAAAGCTTCTTTTTACTGCTACTGAAGCAATGCAAAACTTCTTAGGAGAGAAGCTGGAACAGAGATTTGTTTGGGGTAAGTGTCAGACTCTGCAGTCACGTAACAGGAGTTTTCCACACTCACTCCCTGAAGGGCAGTCACACACAACTTCAGGGTCTCTCATTCTGCCTACTCTGAGGACACTTACAGAGAGCATCACAGGACTGTAAGTAATTAGCACAGCCATTTAGAAAAATTGTTGCCCCTCAGCTAAATGGAGATTCAGATGGATTAGTTAAATCACCCCTGAAGGTGGCTGTAAGTAAGCTGCATGGTTTGGAATAGCAGGGGGCCAGCAGTGTGCAGCAGCTCACCTGCAGGGACTGACACACTGACCTGGCTGCTCTCAGTCAGCTGACCATTCCCAATATCAGTGCTGAGCCCAGGTTAGGCCAGCAATGATCCATCCCACATGGGGAACACTGGGAGACATCAGTATTTCCTATGTTGTTATATGTTTAGACCAGAAAGGTGATTTTACTTGTCCACTCGTGCACCATTGACCATATGTTGTTCTTGTGTTCAGAGGTAAATTTACTGATTGGAAATCTCTGCCTGAGAGATGCTATACCACATTATTATTCTTTTCAGCAGGTTATATACTTTGTTGTTAGATAAATCCTTTTTTTATCTAATATCTAGTAACATATCACTAGCCATATGTAGGATAAAAAGTACCCCCTTTCATTTTTACCATATCTTATTTTTCTGATCTTTAGTGGCATCACAGTGTTTAGATTAAATAACAGCAGTCTTCACTTGGCTGCCTTTCTTTTTATTTTTCTTCCCCTCCACCATGACCTCACTTTTCTTCCCCTTTTCTCCCCAATTAAATATTGTTCAGCTCTGTCAGGAAGAATGTGTAATGGTTCTCTTGCTTGCAGGAAATTTTCCTGTGCATACTGCAAGCATGGCACCTGTCCAAAACAACTTAATGGTGTTTATGAGAAGGTCATGTAGGCATAAGCTAAAATCTTTGCATGCTACATCTATCAGTGCTTTACTGCTCTTTCTGATCAGCAATCTCCAAGGGACTGTGGTTATGGACCACAGTCTCTCCTATGGCTGAATTTTCAGGAGGAAAGGAAGCAGAGTACAGCAAATAGAATGAATTCATTTCTGCATGAGAGACTTGGTTATATATCTGCTCTTGAGGTACTAGTCATACCAAACCAGCTGAAATAGTGGAGGCACACTCCAGAGGAAGGAAAATTTGTGATGTGCAGGAGTGTGAGTACTTCATTTTGCTTCTTGCTCAATGAGGGAGAGGCAGACACCGGTTAAATTAAAAGCTGCCGTCTTCAGGCTGATCATGTGAAGCAGATTCATGTATTTTCAGTTGGAATTTGGAGCTTCCTCTCAGAATGTCACCGAGGTTAAGAACTGGCAGGATGCAAAAGGAGACATTTATGTGGCTTAGGATAAGACCATGCTTGTTAGAGTAAGAATTAAAAATACACGGGCGTCTCAGAACAGATGAAGATCAGCCGGCTGCCAAATTACACTCAGCTTCTGGTTAATGGGGGTCAGGGAGAAACTTCCCCAGGGGGAAATGCTGGAACAGCCTCCTCCAAGGTTTCTTGTAGCTTTCTCCCAAGTGTCCAGCACTGCAGCTGCTTGAGATACTTGATGAGATGAACTCCAGGTATCACAGGACAGCTGTGCCTGTGTGCTTTGATCTAGCTTCAAATACCTGTTTGGGGGTTTATTTGAATGTCATATGGCCAGAGGGGAGAAAGTTTTTTCTTCTGCTTCACTAATGTAGGGCAAGGATAAATAGAGTTTGAGCATAGTTTAAATGAAAATTCAGAATGATTGGGCTGATTTAAAGTACAGAATTGGCAAAAGAGGAATTTAATTTGGAAACCACGTTGTACTGGTCTATTGGACCATTTATTGGTTACTTCTGAGCTCTGCGTTTTATGCCTTCTCCTTCCCATGTTATCATTTATTTTGCTTTTTTATGTCACACTCCATTTCTCAGACTCTGGCATCTTTGGAACTGGTTCATAATTAAAGGAATAAATAATTCAGGTCACTGGCAATTTACAGCTTTCTTTGCTGTCTGTGCTGGAGTAACTAAACATGGATGATGAAAGGAATCAAAATAAGGTTTGCATCATTTATGCAAGTAGCCCATAAAGGATGGGTAACATTTCTTCATCTGTAAAGCCTACAAAGGACTGACAGTGTGTTTGGGAGCTGGATCAGATCCTCACCAGATCTACTTCTTTATCCAAACACAAGAATGACACAGGAGGCCAGAGCAGGTGACAGGCACCAGTGGGCACCAGACAGAGTGTCCAGTTGCAGAGCTGTCCATCCTGTCTGTGGCAGCACAGGCATCACATGTTGCCAGACCACAGCAAAACACTGAAAGGAGGATGTTTGATAGCAAGAATCATCCACAAGTCATGTCAGATCACCAGGACCATCACTGAGTACACATCATAGATACACAAGTGTGGTATGGTGTCCAGCCATGTGAGCAGTTTTGCTGAACAGAGCAGGAATATTCATGTGCTTCACTTCAGACTTACATTTAATTACCTTGATAATCAAGGCTAAGTTCCCCAGCAGAAGTGATGCATCATCATCTCTAAGGACATCATGGTTCTTCTCTGTGCATCACTTTAGAATAAGTCACTGTAAGTGGAATGAATTATTATAGTCAAAAATAAAATGCTGAGTGATAGCTGTGTTGAAATGTACTAATGCAATTTGGAAGAGATTTGGGATTACAGTTCTGTTTCTTATAGTGGTTTATACACACTGTGTTCCAAGCAATTTTGGCAAAAGGTGATAGAAGAAGCTTCTTGAGTAATTTAATTCTTGAGTAGCCAAACCACTTGTAAGTAGTGACTTCTTGAATATATTAACTTACGCTACTGGGAAAAAAGTCTGTTTTTATGTACCAAGGAAGTAAAGTAACAAAGACAATGAAAACCAACCAAAATTATTTATCAGACTTCATAAAATCAGCTTTAAAAGTTAGCTGTCAACAGCCAGCTAATTGCATGTGTGAACACAGAGGAGCATGTGCATCTTGTATCACGTACACATAGCCTTTCCTTTTTAAAAAGAAGTTATTCCATGAGCTTTGACTCTCCAAAGCCATCACTGGAAAAGCAGTGCTGCTGAGCTGAGCCCTGGTGGAAGCAGTGGTCAGTCTGTTCACCTCCAAGGAGAGCTGTGATGTGTAACATGGTGCCCTGTGACTGCCATAATGCACCAGCATGTGATTCTGGTTTTGCACATCTGTCATGCCATTGATGTTAAAAGCTTACAAGGATGTGAGTGAGGATTCACAGGGATGAACCAGCCAGCTTCAGCATCATTAGGTATAAATTTATCCTGTGTCAGTGAAAAGTGCTTTTGTCTTTTACCTAGTGAAACAAAGCTATACACCTGGTTTCTCTATTTGTTTTCTTACCTAATTAGACACTGGGAATGGAGCAGTGTGTGTGTCCTTTTTTTCTCAGTCTAAAAGGGATAGAATCTTTTTTTTTTTTTTTGGAGGAAGGAAACTGCAAAGATGAGCCTCCACTGTTCCTGTAAATGGCTTCATTCTTGGTCACATGCTCTCATTTAATGTTTGGGGTTTTTTTCTGCTGGTTAAAGGATTTACATCTTGCGGCTCTAAAGGTGCCACCATAACAAGACCCCTGTACCTGTTGTTTGGCTTTCTCACTGTTCAGCCCTGTTGTTAGATAGGTGTGAGGCACATCAGATTGTGGGCCACGTGTGAAATGGTCCCTTGAATTTTGGTGACAGCATGTCTAATGTCATACTCTCTCAGAACTTCAGTGGTATACTCTGGTAACCAGAACTAATGGTATACTCTGGAATAGAACTTCAGTGGCCTCAATATTTCAACCCAGATGTATTTCCTAACTTGAAGTGAGGGCACAGTCAGGCTTAGTTGAAGATTTGGAATTTCTCTGGAAGTTGCTGCAGCCACATGTTTCACCTGGAATAAATTTAAAAAAGAAAAGAAGAAAGCTCTTAGTGAGGTTACTGTTTATCCATCTCAGGACAGAAACTTGATAGGAGGTCAGTAATAAATTGAAGGAGGTTGACTTCAGATTCTGGAGTAATTTCACCCCAAGTCAGGAGGTTTCTGTCTCTTTTGCAGTGAAACATTGCCGTGATTGTGTTGATTTTGCTCATGGATTTGCTTTTATCTCTTAGGTGAAAAGTTCATGAGATTTGGCTATCCAGATATCCCCTTTGATATGAACCTAAGCTATGACAAGGAGGCTGAGCTGATGCAGTCTCACATGATGGACCAAGCCATCACCAATGCAATCACCTACCTTGGAGCTGAGGCACTTCACCCCCTGATGCAGCACACACCGAGCACAATCGCAGAGGTGGCCCCGGTCATCAGCTCAGCTTACGCTCAGGTCTATCATCCCAGCAGGATAGAGAGGCCCATCAGCAGGGAAACAGCTGACAGCCACGAGAACAACATGGATGGCCCCATCTCCCTCATCAGACCAAAGAGTCGAATCCAGGATAGAGAGGGCTCCCCCAGCAATAGCTGCCTGGATTCCACTGACTCAGACAGCAGCCACGACGACCGCCAGTCCTACCCAGGAAACGCTGCCTTAACCCCCAAGATCAAGCCAAACCCGGCTTACGTGAAGGAGGAGGCCAAGCCTTTGGATGTCACAAAAGCTTCTAAGGGCTCTTTAAAGGATATGTACAAGGTGATCAACGGAGAAGGGGAGCAGATTAGGGCTTTCAAGTGCGAGCACTGTCGCGTCCTCTTCCTGGACCATGTCATGTACACCATCCACATGGGCTGCCACGGCTACCGGGACCCGCTGGAGTGCAACATCTGTGGCTACCGGAGCCAGGACCGCTATGAGTTCTCGTCGCATATAGTCCGGGGGGAGCACACATTCCGCTAGGCCTTCTCATCCAAAGGGGACTCCTATGAAGTAGAAGAACTGCACATGAAGAAATACTGCACTTACAATCCCACTTTTCCTCAGACATTGAGATGCCTATTTTGTTGTTGTTGCTGTTGTCGTTGTTGCCGTTGTTTAATTATTATTATTAACCTTATTTTTTGTGGACCCAACCTCATTTGCTCTGCCCAGCTTAAGAATGGAGAGAAGGAAGGGAATGGATAAAAAGAGGGGTTTGTTGTGGCAATCAGTTCTTGGGGAGTGACCCGCCTTGCTTGCTGTGGGAATTGGAAGGCAGTCTGTGTCCGTCTCAGTCAGTTGTACACAATGTCCTCTCTTGGGATGTCACTCAACCATGCCAGGTGCTTTCAAGTCCCAACAAGATGCCACTCATTTGGAATTTCAGAGGAATAGATAGAAACATTTCAGAGGAGAGCCTTTTTCTAATGTGAAGATTCGGTGTGAGCTTTCGGTGGCTGGAGGAAAGGGGGGGAACTTTGTTTTGCAGAATGAACAATTATTTTTAAAGCAAAACTGGTAGGGAGTTAGGAGCATGAATCAAAGTCAATATTCCTCTCAAAATTATTTTCAAGGGTGAGCTGTTTTCCTGGGTTCAGTGTGTATTGCCCCTCTAGAATGTAAATAAATTAAAAAAAAAAAAAAAAAGAAAAAGAAATGTATGTCTTAACACTGTACCACATTATAGCAGTTTAGTTTCATAAGTCTGAGGGCCTTCTGTGGTAAGTTTGAGGCTTTGTATTTTTATTTTTCCTTAACTTATGAAGCACCTTTTTTTAGAATTGTTGATATTCTGTTACTCCATGCCTATGTGTTGTCTCACTGGCTTCTTAGAGACCCTTGGGAGCCTTATTTCTTTAGTTGCACCCTAAATTTTAAGAAAGAACATTTAGAAATAACATTTAAACTTGCTTCTAGGACAGTAAGTGTCCTAGGAGTGGGTGAGAGCCTGTAGTTTACTCAAGAGGTTCTGCTGCTCTTCAGAAATACTTTTGGGTTAAAATTATGGATTTAAAAATGACAAAAGTGCTAGTAGCAAAGTGTTCTTTAAATATAGGTATATATAGATACATAATTATGTAAATACTTTCTCATTCTACTATCACAGTGTTAACCTCTTGGCAACAGCCTAAACTGAGACTTGCAGCTGGGAAAGCGTTAGGAGCCAGATCCTTGGCCAGCATTAATCCTCTTGGCTCCATTGAATTTAATGGAACTGCCCCAACTATTTCAGCTACATCAGGATCCCAACCTTGACTGTTTTTTCTCTTGTTGACTTCTTACTTCCTAATATGCTGAACCACTGACTTCCTTTTGTTTGTACATCATCAATTCTGCTGAATTTAGGGGTGAAAGTATTAGCAGGTTTTGCTGGATAGCCTTGACTCCTGGAGAGCACGGAAGGCCAGCAAACCAACAGGTCACATATGATCTTCCCTGCTTCTTCAGAAAGGGATAAGTGGAGATGTAGGTGCTGGGTATTGATTTGGGCTTAAAGATTTCTTCTTTGTTCCTAATTTAATAATTTCCCTGTAGGGAAAGCAAATGGAGAAGCACACTCCAGAGAGAGTCCTTGACACACAGAGTGGACAAGAAAACAAGTCCACTGATCTGTTTTGTTTCCTTTCTTTCTCTCTCAGTAAATAACAAAGGCAGCAAGCACCCAGCAAGTTGCATCAGTAAAAACTGGGCTTAAACCTACAGGACAGATTGCCATTGAAACCCAACTGTTTGTACCAATCACAGTTGAAATGTTGTTGTTTGGCAACAAGAGCACAGCTTGAGAATGGAAAGATCTGGATGGGTTTAACCCCCTCCGCACACACGGTCCCCATGCGCCTGGGGAGACCTTTTCCAAAGGATAAAGTTACTAAAGTATAAAAGAGAGAGCAAGATCAGGCCATAATGAATTCCCATCTGCTCCCTCCAATCTGTGCACTTGATGCATATGCCAGTTTGCTGTTCGTTTTGAGGGTACTGGGTTTTTTTTCTCCTTCTCTTCCTAGACCTGGAGCATTTGAAAGTAGGAGCTGAAAGGTATTGATTGAAATCTTTTTATGGTGACATTCTTGGCAGCTAGAACCTGTGTTTAGAAAGAATACAGTAGATCATGGCCAGATTACCTGATGACTGCTTCCCAGCACTGCAATGCTATTAAGTAGGAGCTGGTAAAGTCTTGCAGTAGCCTATTAATTATAATACAATATGGAGAGAAATGTCATCTTGTGTAATGTGAGACCTATCAAGGCTGGGAATATGCAGGCTTTGGAGAGACAGATTTAAAGATCTATTCCCAACATTGTTCTTAATGTCGTTGGGTTCCTCCCCTTCCTTCTTTCTTCACCCTAATGTGGAGGAAAATGGGGAAAATGAACCAGTGCCATCCTCTGGACCATTCTCATTGTCTTGTGCCTGGTGCAGCCAAATTTTGTTTGTGCAGGAGAAAAGCAGGGAGATGCTGGAGGGCATCACTTGGATTCTGTGTGGCTGATCCTCTGTAGTGAGGGAGGTGGGCTTAGGAGGCAGCCGGCCGTGCTTCGTGTCAGGATGTGCCTGGAAATTCAGAAAACAAAAAAGTGGGGGTGATTTGCTGAGGCAGGAGAGGTCATTTAAGAACAAGGTGGAAACTAAAAGGTTCTTGGGCCTGAGGCTTGCTGGGCTTTCCTGGGCCTCCAGAAAAACACATGGCCAAGCTAGAGAGAGAGGTTGCCGGCAAATCCTTTCAGCCTCTGGGGAAAACACTCCGTTCTCCCCTCTGTGGTCAGCAAAAGAACATTGGGCTGTGGTTTCTTGGAATAGCTAGCACTAGGGAAAAAGTGTTTAAAATTTCTGCCTTTGTTGGGGAAAGCACCAGAATACGGGAAAGGTAGAGAATCTCTTGTGTATGCACAGATCAGTTGGCTGCAATTACATCTGCAGTTCATCTGCACTTGGGGTCACTGATGACTCACTGCTACCTCCAGTAAGGTGTATTCTGTGGGAGTTTAAAGGATCACATGGGGAGACCCACTGATTTTGGACCTGGCTTCAGTTAAGTCCATCTTCATCTATTAGTAGCAGGTGAGGTCTGTATGTCCTGATGTCACAGGCACAGGGAACTGGAGAAGTACTGGGGAATTATCTTAGTGAAACCACATTTTTTGGAGAGGAAGAAACTTAAGGGGTCACATTGATTTTTTCTTATCAATGTCCTTTTCTAAACATTCACAGGAGACTTTTATCCTAGAGTCAGGAAAAGAAGAAAGATTAAATTCCAGTTCAAATTTTGAAAAAAATTTTGAATTAACATGTACTTTAGAATTCAATTCCTACTGAAAATTATTATTAGAGGGCTTTATGTAATGCAGTTTGTTCCTTCACAAAAGTGAGCAAAATGGGGCAGCAGAGATTTCTTTGGGTGTTTTTTTCTTGCTTGCTCTCTGCAAGAATTGGATTTCTAAGAAAAGTTCTTGAGTTTCATCAAGTTCATTAGTCATTCATAGTGTACTAGGAATTTCAGTAGCTAATCCCTGGCCTCTAAATTCGTTTGTTCTGAGTATTTGGTGCTGGAAATCAAATCTGGCTGATTTTTATTGAACTCTTTTGAAATTCTTGGAATTGGGTTTCCGGTTAGAAACATACATCTGCAAATTTAGAGTTGGCTTCCTGTGAGCATTCCCCATTTTCATTTAAAAAAAAGAAAGAAAAAAAAAATCTGGGCAATTCTTTGCCAGTAAACCCTTTTGCTTCTTTTACATTAAAAATGGCAACACTCTGACTCAGTTTAGAGGATTACAAGCCTATTAATTTAAAGAGAATGTGGCTGCTTATTCTGCTTTTGGTGTGATCCATATCCTTGGAGCAAAGGGCATTATCTATATATCTGCAGTTATGACTGATTAATTTTACAGCCACCTCTCTTTGTAATCAGTTAGGAGTGCACATCAAAATATATTGCATTTTTCAGTAAAGCCTGCTCTTTACTCAGTAACTTAGGGGATTAAAATAATTTTATTCTCCTTAAAAAGTGCTTTCATCTATGATGTGATGTGAAAGGTGTCTAGACATTAACCTGTAGTGGTCTGTAGCAGAGAGAAAGATTTAAAACGGGTTAATGGGCCTAGTTTTTAGTGGTACTGGTTCCTACAATGTTAGTACCCAGCTCACAAAGTAGCCACGAGGACCTAAAGTATGTTTACTGCAAGGTGAAGAAATTCTCAATTGTCAGAGTTTGCAAATTTCTTTCTGTTTACAAGGGCTTCCCTAAATTTGTGCTGTTGGGCAGGAGGTCAGTAATGAAACCCAACCCTTCAAAACTGGGCTTTCATGGGGCATTATGACTGTTGTCCAGGCCCTGGGCTAGCTTGTTCTGGTTTGAAAGAAACCAGACAACAGACACTCCTTCCTCCAGAGAGAAACTTTGGAGATTACTGCAGCAAAGGTGCTTATTTCAGCCAAGGGCAGGAGCTACAGTAATGCAGTTCCTTCACTGGATAAATTCCTTTCCTTAACTCTTGCTGTGCTTTTTAATGTCATGAGGGAGGCTGCCAGGGTCACCTAAAGTCAGTGTGGGATTTTAGGAAAAGGGTGATGAAATTGGCTTTTCTGCTAGTAATTCACATCTTAGCTTGGCGTAATAGCATTTAAAAACAAAAGTGGATGGCCTGTGGTGTGGGGCAGCTGGAGAGCTTGAGAAAGTACATTTATATATATATATATATATATATGGTATTGTGTAGTTAGAGGTATGCTTTATTGTATATGTGCCTTTTCCAAATGCATTTTGGGAGATCCTGATGTCGTTCCTGATATCCCACCAGACCCTTTCAGAATGCACAACAAAAACCAACCCAAAGGAAACATCCCTCCTCCTGCTCTGCACCCTCCTTGGCAGTTTGGCCCAGAGAGAGGACCCTGGTCAGTACTTTGCTGTGAGATTTCCTGCACTCAGACAGCTTTTAGGAGTGGGAAGGGCTGAAAATGACCCCAGCAAAGCACATTCCAGATATCCAGCCAGAGCTGGTCTGCAGCTGGTCCCAGGGAGCACAGCATTCCCAGCACAATGCCAGGGCTTGCTGTGGGAGCCCCCAGCTGCACTGTGCCCTACAGAGAGCCAGGGAAGCTTCTCCTGTTTCCTCCCTCTTTAAGTAAAGCACCCTTTAGTGGACTTTGCTCTGCTTTACAGTTCCCACTTAGGTCTGGGAGCAGGCTTTAAGGCTTGCTTCAGCCTGGAGAAACAAATGTGGTGAGTCCTTTGGAAGTGGTTTGCAAGTTGCCTGTCAGGCTGCTGCCAGCGCAGGAATTGGTACAGAGACCAGAGAAGCTCATCAGCAGGAGGCATTCAGGGGCTTCACAAGCTGGATCACTGCTGTGAGGAGCACAGTGCTGGTTCTGGGACTTTCCCAGGGGTTGGTGACCTGCTTTCAGGTGCCCTTGTTCCCCCTGCAGAGCTGAGTGTGCCAGGAGGGCCACGGTGGGCAAGGTGGCTGGGCCAGCAGGCTTTGGGCAGAGCCTGAGCCCAGCAGCAGCCCAGAGCCACCCCCTTGGCAATGCTCTCCCAAAGAGGGGTGCTGGGGGGAGCAGTTAGAGCTAGAGTTTGCTTCCTAGTGAATAGATTCCCTTTTATGCCATTGGTGTGTTCTGAGATATTAAGCAAAGGACAACATCACTGCTTTCCAATTTGGTTTCTAATTTGACCTCCTTGTGTCCTTCTCCTACCCAGCTCTGAAATGTGCAGAGGACAGTCAGGAGGAGGGCTGGGCTCAGGCTTTGCCATGCTGCATGATTAACAGGCCAAGGAAACAGTAAAACCAGGCTCTGTTTAATTCACCTACCTTCCCAGTTATCGTGCAGATTCCTGGTTCCTGTTCACTTCCAGCCTTTGGAAAGGTGGTTATCAGTGTGCACACTTGGGTCCTCGTCTTTGAAGATAACTTCCCATGCTATCTCCTTCTGTATAAACTTCTCCTTTTCAGCTTTGGGCCTAATTAATCAGTGGACAGATACGACCATTTCAACAGAAACCTGCATAGTTGTAATAAAACTAATATTTTTTTGCTGTTGGCAAAAAAAACCCACAAAAAACCTGTGATGTTTTGACTAGCAGTACTAGGTGAAGTATTTCAACAGAGTGAATGACAATGAAGTTAATCAGATCATGTCTTGAGAGGGGCTGGTTTCTCCTGTTGGGGGAAAGGGAGCAGCCTGGCCCAAAGCTGAGGCCAGCACTTCCTTTCCATAGCAGGTGCTGGTTTAGGCAACTGCACTGCAGCCCAGGAAAACATTTGAGCACCATCAGCCTCGTGCCATCCCTTTGGCTGGATGTGGACATCACAGGAGCTCTGCAGCTGGCTGTGTTTATCCTGATCCCATAATCTGTGGGATCAGGGTGCAGCACAGCAGCTCTGGGCAGGCTGGGTGGTGGTGCTGGAGGCATTCCCTTATTCCTTGTAGCAGCCTTAATCCCTGGCCCTTGGTGGTACCTGGGTACCCTCACCTCTGTGTGCGTCACCAGGCTGGATAAAGGATGGGAGCCTCCCATCCCTCCTCTCCTTACAGGCACAACAGGGCCAGTTTGCAGTAAATTGGGCCATTTAGTTTTACCTCAAGTGACATCGAGTGAGAAAAGCTTCTTGCAGGGGTGGAGGTCACTGAGTCCCTACTATGCACTTACTGGGATTTGACTTTGCTTACTGGAAATGGATGTTGGTTCCCGAACACACTGTAACAAGGGAAGGACTTTTTGTTGGTTGTTTTTGTAGTCATTCAGATTCTGAAACTGTGATCAATTATTTGACAAATTGTCAAGTGTCCTCAGAGCTTGAACACGTTCACTTCCTCACCATGTAGCAGTCTCCTCTGGCTTTCTGTGCTTTTCTCTTTCCCCCCTTTTCCTTCTTGGAGCTTTAAGTCTGGGCCTGCTCTTATCTCCTGTAGCTTTGGGCTGTCTAGGGGTTTGGGGGGGGTGGTTTTTGGGTTTTTTTTGTTCATTGGCTGTACAGTCTGTTTACATATTTTTGTACTCAAGTGTAGTTTTTTATTAAAAACAGAAAAAAAGAAAAAAAAGTCGATTTGAGAAAAAAGAATAAGGTACGTACTCTTTGTAACACTTTAAAGATCTAGGGTACCTTTGAGATGACTCTACAGTGATGTAATTATAATACTGTATATTTGCCTTCCTTTTTAGTTGGTTTTATTTTCTGTTTTGTTTTGGTTTTTTTTTCCTAAAATATATATCTTTTTATGAGAAACTGGAAACTTTTAATGCAAATGTTTAGAAAGATTTAAAATTGTAAAGTTAAAAAAAAAAAGTCATATAATTTTTTTTTTCCTGTTGGAAGAAAATGCTTTAAAAAAAGTTTTACTACTGTTATATTCCAGGGTGGGGGTTACCAACCCCAAATTTGCTTCTTATGCTTCATTCTTGGATCCTGCTTTCTAAACATGATCATTGCAGACATGGATGATTTGCTTGTATTAATTCTAAAGACAAAAATCGCCAACATTTGGGTTATTTTTCTGTTCAAGTGCAATACTTACCCTGACATCTTATTAATGTACAGTGGTTTCTGTGTTCCTTCCTCAGTCCACACAAATCAGTGAAACAAGATGCTCTGCCCTAAATGCATTTAAACATATGGTTCAAGTAAACTGATTGCGACTGACAAAAGATGAGAAACTGTAAATTAAGGCTAAAGCCCATAATTTACCTCCTGCTTGTTGTTGGCATTGCAACACATCCACATCCAGAATTAAGGACATACCTGTTCTTGACTCTTCCTCCTTCTTTTCTAATTGCAGCTTTTTTAAGAAAAGCACTTAATAGTGATGTTTATTAAAAATGACAAAAAAAATAAAAAGATCTTTTGGTCTGATCCAAAACCCACTCAGTGGAGACTCCTGTTGACTTTGAGGGTGGATTTTGGATTAGGTCTAATCTCTTAGCTAGGGCAAAACTGCCCTTTACTCTAGGGAAGAGATTTGCCTGCGTAAGAATTACAGGACTCGTGTCTTTTATCTACCTGAGAGACCAGAAAAGCTTCTTTAGAGTTGTCCTTGTCTTATATAAGTTTAGATGGGACTTGTTTTACATATCATACGTATTTATATAGTGTATTTTTAATGCCTTCCCTCCCACCCCCCAGTAGACTGAAGCCGCTGTTGTGTAAATATGTATTTAGGTACGTAATAAAAAAAAAAAGGAATAAAATCCCATGGAGACTTCTTGGAAAGGCAGTTACTGCGCATGCACAGTAGCCACTTTTGTCTTTTAAATTTGTATTTAAGAGATTTCTTTTTAATCATAACAAAGGCAAGGAGACTGTATGTATCCCCTTCTGATTGATTGCCAAACTCGTTGCCCAGCCCCTGGTGTCCGAGCTGAAGAAGAACAAGGTTTGGTCCCCTCTGGTCTCACTCCTTGAGCCAAATTGTGGGAATCTCGGCTCCTGCTGCTCTCGGGGCTGTGCTGAGAGCGGGACCCGGGCACGGCCGGGGAGAGGAGCTCGGGGCTAAGGATGCGGCCGCTTGTCACAGCATCCCTCCCGGCATCTCCCCCGGCATCTCCCGAGCTGCTCTTTTCCTCACCACAGCCGGGCGGCTAATCCGGGAAATGACCCCTTTTTTTCCCCCAGGTGTAAGAATTTTTAGTTCTGTGATAGATCTGCTGAGCTCAAATTGAGGAATCTTTCAAATAAAAAAAAAAAAATTTAAAATACATCAGAGTTTACTCCAAAAGCCAGTGAAGATGCTGGGAGTTGTCCCATTTTATGTGTTCATTGGA